GCGGCACCATAACCCGCCATATAATCTTCCAAATAGGGAAAATAGGTGCTGTCGGAGCCGGCACAAGTGAATTATAAGCAGACCTTGTGGTAAAGGTGCCATCCGACGAAAGACCCCACATCATCCTATCCTCGCCTGCCGAATCCCGTGGAGGGAGAGTGGCTGCGATTCGAAGTAGAAGATCTGTTGGGAGGAAGGCTTGGAAGTAGTCCCATCGCCAATCCCCGAACTCGTTGGTAAGGTCCGCCACCGTCAAAGAAATACTCATCTCAGGTAACTCCCGAATGACCCACAGCTGCAAGGGGCCTACCGTACCCAGCCACGAGTCAATCCAAAATCGGACTGTCTTTCCATTCCCAATAACCCACCGTAAACCACAGACCATTTGGGGCCAGATTTGCAGAACAACGCGCATCAAGCTCGAGCTCTGCCGGCACGTAGGCAGAATCGCCCCAGGTAACGGAGGGAAATGATACTTTGCTTTAAGTACTCGCACCCACAGAGAGTTTGATTTAGTCAGCATTCCCCAGCATAATTCATCATTAGCGCATCATTCATTAGACGAAGGTTTTTAAGACCCAGTCCGCTAGCAGATTTGGACCTGCAAACTTCTGGCCAAGCAACCAAATGTACCTTTCTTTTCATATCAGACCCGCCCTAAATGAAAGCCCGCCATCTTTGTTGAAGCCGGTCGGTAATAGCATAGGACAGCCGAATTGTTTGCATAGCATAGAGCGGCAACGTGCTTAGAACTGATTGAGTGAGGGTCACACGCCCTGCCATCGAGAGCGATTTCATGCGCCAACCCGCGAGCCGTGCTTCGGCCTTGTCCAAAATGTGGGTATATTTTTGTTTAGTCACTCGTCCATGAATTATCGGCATCCCTAGGTACGTACCAAGATCGTTCGTTAACTTAAAGTTGAGCAACCCAGCCAAACGAACTTGTTCTTGTTGGTCGACATTCTTAGAGAAGAACACCTGCGTCTTTGTCGGGCTAATCTTAAAGCCCGAAGGCTCGCAAAAAAGGCGCATTACATGATGTAATAACAACACCTGGTCATTGGAAGTCTCCAAGAAAAGCATTAGATCGTCAGCAAACATTAAAAAAGGGACCGACACTGTCCCTTTCCCAACCGAGATTGGTCGCCAACGTAGTTCATCCACCTGTTGACATATTAATTGTGCCAGACGCTCCATGCACAACACAAACAAGTAGGGGGACATGGGATCACCTTGACGAATACCTCTTGAAGGTGTAAATCCATCACATACCTCGCCATTCCACATTAGGTGCATTGATGCCGATCTTATACTTGCCATAACAACCGCTGTAAGCTTAGCCGGGAATCCGGCTAAATGCAAGGTGTCTTCTATAAAGTCCCACCGGAGATAATCATAAGCCTTTTCCAGGTCAACTTTAATAACCATATAACTCTTAGCCCCTTTCTGATTGCGCATGGAATGGATCAGTTCTTGAGCAACGACAATATTATCAGTGATTTGTCGGTCGGGGACAAAGCTAGCCTGGGCGGGATTAATCAAGTCAGGGAGAGTCTTCTTCATACGGTTCACCAAGATTTTGGTAAAAAGTTTATACACGACGTTGAGTAAGCTAATCGGGCGGAATTGCTTGATAGTGGTTGGCTTCTCAACTTTAGGAATTAAGACTAATAGTGTCTGGTTCACACTCGGCGGGACAAATCCATCTGACCACATTTTAAGAATCAAGTCCCGAACCGACGGGCCAACCGTCTCCCAGTTTTGTTTGAAGAAGAGGGCGTTAAGACCATCCATACCAGGGGCCTTAATAGACCCCATGCCTTGCAGTGCATGGCTAATATCCTCGTCGGTGATGGTGTTGGATAATGTTGCCATCAAAGTCGCATCCGAGGGCGGGAAAAGATTAGGACCAAGGTTGCTACTCGGCGGACCCCTGTCCGTATATATGTCCTTGAAGTAGTTGAGCCAAGTTTCGAAGGGTATCCTGATCTGTGATAAGAGCCCCATCATCATTAAATAGCTCGAGTATTCTCGCCTTCCTCCTGCGAAATTTCAACTGTCTATGGAAGAAGTTGGTGTTACGATCTCCCAGGAAGGACCAATCACGGACCGACTTTTGCAAGAGAAGTAGCTCCTCTTGGATTATTACATCCTTCAGTTCAGCCCGAAGCTCCGTTCAAGAACCTGAAGCTTGTTATTAAAGTAGAATTGGCGGCATCTTTGGATACCACCGAGACGAGCCATCAACCGTTTTTTCCGTTGAAAAAGATTGCCAAACACGTTATGATTCCAATTCTTGGATGCTGCCACAAAGCTCTCGACGGCCACCTTATAGGACTCAGAAGGTTTCCACGCGCCCTTGAGCATGTCGCTAAAGCCTGGATGAAGTAGCCATGGCGCAAGAAAACGAAATGGTTTCGAGCCTGGTGACTGGTTATATCGCTGGCCGAATTCGACCAACAAAGGAGAGTGATCTGACTGAAATCGCGAAAGTTGACGGACCCGACCAGTACTAAATCTCTCGACCCACTCCACATTAGCAATAAAGCGGTCCAGCTTTTCGGCAATCTTTCCATTCGGGCCATCCCGAAACCAAGTATAAAGGTGAGCATCCGTATCGACTTCTTGGAGGTCGAAATTAAAAAGCCAATCAATAAAATCCTGGCTAATGTTGCAAGAGCGAGAGAAACCCCCTAATTTTTCCGAACGTCTAAGGAGACAGTTGAAATCTCCTCCTATCAGCCAAGGTTCTGAGGATCGAGTAGCTAACATACCCAAATCCGCCCACAGCTTCTTTCTGATCACCGCATTAGGGCTAGCGTAGATAAACGTTACCAAGCAGGCCTCATCCCGCTTCGACACCCGAACGTGAGCTAACTGTCGTGTACACCACAGTACTTCAACCGTTAGTTCATCCGTCCATAATAACCAAATCCCGCCAGAAAACCTCAGGCTTCTATCCGGAATTAGTTATCAAACTTACTAGAGTATAAATTAGCTATTTTCACTACACAATTTATAAATTATTTTATTTTTCCGTTCACCAAAATAATTATTTATTAGTTTTTTTTTTTTTTTTTTTTTTTAAAAACAATCTATATTCCATCCCACCTTACTGTATTTATTTTTTCAAATCTTACACTCGTGCATAATTTTCACAAACATGATAGGTAAAATTCCACCTTAAAGGGCCCACGTCAGCAAGTGCCCTTTTATTATTATTATTATTATATTATTATTATTATTATTATTATTATTATTATTATTATTATTATTATTATTATTATCGGATCAAAAGAATTACAAGAAGTTGGAGGGGAGCCGAGATACTATCTGGGCCCCCACTCCTTTTGCAATGGAAAAGCTAACACGTGTGAAAATATGAGGAGCAGCACGCGCCCCCACATCCTGAGATACCGAAAACTTCTGTATCCTCTTGAGTAGGGCAATGGCATCTGTGTGCAACTCCCCTAATGAAGAGAAAGAGAATGGGAGAAATCCATAACCCTTAGAAGCACATAAAGCGTCATATTTCGCAATTGGCTCCACATTTATTCATAACCCTTATTATTTTTATAGGGGGTGTCTATATGTACACCCCCTCAAGTGTAAAAAAGGGGTGTACATATAGCACTTTTCTTTGTGTAATTTATTAAAAGGGGGTGTACATATAGCATTGCCCTTTTTATAACCCTTATTTCGCAATCCATAACCCTTATTATTTTTATATTTTTTTTTTTTTCTGAATTAGTATTTTCAATTATAAAAAGGCCCCTCAGCCATAGCAATTGGCTCCACATTTATTCTTCGTCTCCACGAAAACCTCACCACAGCAGCATAAGCTCATTTTCAATCTGCAGAAACAATTATCGAAGCGCCTGTTGTTAATCTAGTCTGGTATGTCTTTCATACTCTTAATTTTTCATTTCTCGATTTTATATTTTTGCTGTTAATTTTCCATCTCATTTGCGTTTGTGAAAAATAAGGTAGAACTCCACTTTTGTGATTGTCGTAAGAACAGATCTGTGTCGTTTTCACGATTTCTGAATGTTATATGAAGTTTTGTGAAACAAATTTTAACTTCTGTTTGTGCTTTCTTCTTCGCTGTTCTGTATCTGCAATTTTGAAGTCCTCAAAGTGTGTTTTTGCTTGATTCTTTGCTGTTCTGTATCGCTGTTTTTTTTTTTTTTTTTTTTTTT